AATTCTGTACTTTTTATATTCAGCTATTTGTACTTGGGAGGTCTGCCTTTTCTTCTAGACCCTTAGGTGCTGTAAAACAAAAATTTCACTGCCTCAAATATGAAGGACAAAGGTAACTCAGAAAGAGTCATATTGAAAAAGCAAGATACAGTTCATCTTGCATTTTTCAGTCATATACAATTCCTGAATGGTATAATAACTTTAGAAATCCATTAACATCATACCTGTAATCATACACAGTCATAAAAATACTGTTACAATCTTTAATCAGTCAGAAAACAAAATGGATGGTTAGGAAGAGATATCATTAGCACAGCTTATATGTTTGGTTGTTTTTGGAAATGTACTTTCAGCATTCCAGCTGCAGCTTTGAGTCAGGCACACTGGTGAGGTTATATTTGATTTAGTCAAAACACCCAGATGGAACAAACAGCTGGAGAAAACTGGGGAATGAGGGGAGGAAATGAAGTTTGCTCTGACTGTGGCCTTCTTCCACACCAGCTGTAGGAGGACAGCTGGGCATGGTCACCAAAGCACCCAGTGGCAGAGGGCACTTGTGCAGAAGAGAGGAAAGCGTTTCAGTGAGCTCAGAGCTAAATTACTGCTGCTTGTACACAGGTGTCTTCAGCCAACATACTGTCCCATCCACAAAGAAAAGATATGTAAGGGAAAAACAGTCATCCATTCATCTCTCGTCTTCTGTCTGCCTTTTTCTCTTGTGGAAAAGTGAAACTCGTTGTCTGTGTTGCCTTCCCCAGCTGCAGTCTCAGACCTAGCAGGGGAGTTATGATCACTCTGCAGCTGGGAGCTGTCACTAGAGCCAAATTTTATACAATTATCTTCAGCTTAAAATAACTTGGCAGAACTGATTTCTGTTTTAAGACTCTTGGTTGATAAACATTTCCACTGGGAAAAAAAAAAGGTTTCTGCACTGTTCCTGTAGTAAAGTGCTGCAGGTGAGAACATCTAACTCAGGTAGTTTTTCCAAAAGAGGAGTCTCTCCCCTTTCTCTAAATGCAAGTGTCTGTAATCCCAGTTTAGCTGCAGCTGTGCTGATAAAAAGGGTCTGGGGAGAGAAGTGAGAAGTCAGGAGGTCGTACAGCAGAGGTGCCTGCACATTAGCCTGGCCCATTAGGTCAGATGTCCCAGGCTCTTCAGGTTTTGTGAGGTGGACCCTATTGAATCTCTGTAATTGTGAAATGGGAAGAGTAATCTTTACAAAAAAGTAGTACATTTTTACGGTACTGCTTGAGGTGCGAGTATATGACATAGAGAGAGACATAAAGGTACTGTAGTACAGCTTAATGTTTGGAAAGAGCTGCTGTAAATGAGGTCTTTTCTATCTTTCTGTGCTTAGACATTCTTGTGCTTCTCTTAAGAGATCCTTTAGTTTGCTTTGCTCTGAACTCAGGGAACCTGGCTGTAGGTGTTAAATGAAGAATATATCCTCTAAAGGTAAGAGTTGCCCTGTAAAATACGAATGTCTTATTCTCAGTTGTACCATCTGCAAAGTACACTGACAGAACTTTGAAAGTAGTGTAAATTAAATATAATTGAGCCAATTATGTTTGTTTGCACGGCTAAATATTTTGGATTGTAGGATTGATGTGCATAATGAAGGATTTAGATTTTAAATGCTGTGTTCTGAAGCCTTATCTGTACATTAGTCAATCACATAGCTATAATACAAAACCTAGATTTTGGTCATCAAATGGCTGAGAAAACAAGAAGGTCACTTCTTGGGCTGCCATTTCTAAGTATGAACAACATAATCTTCGTGACTGCAGATGGCAACATGGGCCCAGTTTTACTTTCAGTGCTTCATCCTGCACTTTCTCGTGTTTCATTAGAAACACAGCAAAACAATCTAGTCAGCATTTTCAGCTGAAAATTTACTTTGCCTAATGAGTAACTCTTAGTAATAAAATCACCACTGGCATAGCAATTGTCTTGTGGGTCTTTGATTTGATGCATGACATAGAGCATCCTTAAAAGCATTCCTAATTAAACCAAGGAAAATTCCAGCATTAGGAAAGAGCAGAAGTATATCTGTGATCCATACTACTCACTACTTGGAGAAGCATGGCACCAGGTAGACTTTGACTGAATCTATCTGCCTCATGTGGGCTAAAACTTAGAGATACAACTTCTCTCCTATCTATACTGCATCTCCTTGAAGTTTATCAGTTTTAACATTGAGCCAGTTTGGTGTACAGTATTTGTTAACCTTCAAAGGAGTAGCTGCAGCCTGCAGAAGTAAACCTTTTTTCTTCAAACTGAAAAGGAATTCTAACTTATTTCCTTTGTAGCAGATTTTCAGCTTAGTGTATTTTGATTTTTAATAATGAAAATTACAATGGTGATGCATGCAGCTATGATTTCTTTGCTTCTGTGAAGTTCATTCTACCTAGCACCTAATCTGAACAATAGAAAAAAAACTACAAGGTCCTGGAACTTCACTAGCAACTTATTTGAAAGAGTCTAATAATTGTAGTTATTTAATTCTTAATTCTTACTTTGGCTCATGGGGGCTCTTCTTGATAGCAAATGACAATTATTTGGATTAAATGAAACATTAATGTATTCTGTTAATTTGTGGTTTGTGTTAGTTTGTGGTGTGGTGGCAGAATGTCTGTTGAAAGTTTGGAGGGGGTTGTCCCCCACAGAAAAATTAAGTTCCTTCAGTTTAGATGCTCTTTAGACTGAATTTTAATTATAGAACACAGTAGGTAGAAATAAAAGCGAATACTGACCATCCCAATGAAGTCCAATGTCTTCTCAAAGCTATTTGAAAACATGCAATTCTGATGAGTTATTTCTTTGCTGTGTAAGGAATTAGTCTATAAAGCCTATTGGTTTTTTTTAAAGAGTTCTTAAACACCAACATGCCATAACTTTTTACGTTTTAGTCAGGAAGGAAACACTTACTGCCTTTCTGTTTCTTCTAATAAGAAGCAAAAATGCATTCAAGTAAGGTAAGCCAAAGCTAATTTTCAGAATCTGGTTTCTCCTCCTTTTTCTGCTCTGCATTCCACAGTTCAGCAGTGCGTGCGTTTGTAACTCTAGCTTCTTGATTGAAATATAATTATACTGAGAGAATGGGCTAGAAACTGCTGCTGCTTCTTTTTGTAATATTATGAATGTGTAAGAAGTTTAGAAGAGAGAAGATCTCAGTGGATTTTCCATAGAGCAAGTGTTTATTTGCAGCAAAATTAATGAGTATCCTTGCTAAAGGTCCTTGGAAAAGAGGAAGGCTGAAAAGTGACAACTCCCACTGGGGCTGAGCTTCAGAAAATATGTGTGAGTGGTATGTACCACATTTGGGGGTTTTCCCTGTTTACTCTGAAGTAGAATATCTTCAACTTTTGTAGTGGGTCAGACTGCTATTTAAAGAAGCTGTTTGCTTGATTTATTGTATTAGCAGGTGAAAGGATCTATTCCAAACATATGTATGGTTCCTACACATCTCAAGTAGTTATGACTAGATCAGAAGCAGAAAGCCACAGAGGAAACTATACAAGAAGGAAAATTCTTTATTTAGAATGTAAGTGCTGTCTCACCCTGCACTCAAGAGGTAAAGCTTTTATTTTACTTTTCCTTGAAAGACTATTTCACTTATTATTCACTTTCTTGGTTCAGTTTCTTCTTCTATTTTCTCACCTTGGAAGAGCTTTTCAGCTCAGGAATTAGCCCTAGAGTATGTAGGAGTTAGATTAAATCTTAAACAGTTGTTTGAAGCAAGTGTGATCTTACTTGATATGCTCAAAAGCTAGTCCCCACCTTATAAAAGAAATATTTTATGGTTGTCTAATCCATTTGATCCATTTTTGTCTGTTCATTGCCTATTACTGGTGCAGTTATAGTAGATATCAAAGTATTTCTTGGGGTTTCCATAGACAACAACCTTTTTGCAAGCCCCTCTCTGTTCTGTATTCCTTTATATCAGAAATCAAGACACTGGCAGTTCGTAATGTCTATTTTGTAGACAACTTTGCCATAGCAACAATGTAGACTTAGATTTCAACGGTGATAAAGATTTTTCTAATTTGTTAAATTCACCATTTTGTGGATGTGTTCACATATGCACATATTTCCTTAGTCAGAGAAGCTCTTTTCCTTCAGTACCTGGCACAGCTGCTCACAGGTCAACAATGCTTTCTGACCATTGGCATCTTGACAAGCTTTAAAAAAAAAATAAAGGTTTGAAACTCTTTGAGTCCACATAAAAAATTAACTCCTCTCTCGAGTTCATCTGAACTGACCAATTTGTTTTGAAGCATGTCTTGCTGTGCAGCTAAATGTTAGCCTTCACATCATAAAACAGATTTTAACCATGTGACTGTTTATGTAATGGGGAATACCATGATCTACTGGTGGCAGTAAAATCAAGGGCCAGATAGGAATGTCTCAAAGTATTCAAATAAGACAAACATCTGTGAAAAAACTTTTCCTCATAAAGAATATGATTTTGAACACATCACTTTGTTGTTTCAGATTGTTTTCCTTAGCATTAGTCATGAATAGTGGTTAGTGTGTAAAAGAAGTGACATGCTGATATTGGAAATAAATTACACTGTGCATTTTTCTATATTTCAGTGAGTGTCTGGATTGCTACAAAGGGACTGTATTTATAAATTTCACTTCCACTTAGTTGAAAAACCTCCAGTTTTTATCTAAACTACAGAAAACATTTGGTTTCAAACAGATTTGGCTAAATAAAACTGTGCTTCTCAGACTTCTTGCAGCATTGCAATTTTAGGAAGATAAAAAAAAAAAGAGAAGGAAAAACGATTGGACTATCGATGATATTTCTGGGAACCTGGCTGTGTTTTGTGCAACATCAGCATCAGCTTTCCTTGGGGTAAAGCCGTGTCCGTGCACACAGCCCAGTCTTTGCCTGCCACAGAGCAGATCCCGGCCTGAGGAGACACTGTGATCCTGGAAACTTTCATGTGCCTGTGTGCCAGGGAGGGGAGAGAGAGGGAGACCTAGAGCAAAGGCGAGTAGGGAGGAAGGCAGGGAGAGAAGGGAGCTTGCTTCAGCCACTGCTGAAGGCTCTCAGAGGCAGACTGTACGTGCAGCACTCTGGCTGGTGTGCAATTCAAAGGACAACATTCATTGAATTTATTCATTGAATTGCTGAAGGACAGATATGACACCCAACTGCTGCTTCTGTATGTTCTTGCTTATTGGTACCATGGGTAAGTATCCCTGGCTTCCTTTCTTGTTTTGAACATTGCAAAGCAGATAGCAGATAACTTCAGGAGTGGATTTCTTTTAAAAACCATGATATCTCAGTGTTATTTTACATTTCTTCATGTCAGTTACTTTTCAATAGAATCGAAGTGTAATGCAGTCTCTCAAGGTTACTAGCTACATGTCAGGATCAGATGTTTTTGCACTTAATGCCTCGAGAGTTACTATTAATAGTTATGAGCTGAAATTTAAAAATTAGAAACGGCTTAAACATTACTTAAATACTAGCTGTAAATATTTATTGAGGGTACCTACAGAACTGACTTAACTCAGATGCCATGAAATCTGCATTTTAGACTCAGTTCAGTAGTTTGAAGTGATACTGTGCAAATGGTACCAGAATAGATAGCTCTCAAAGGACAGAATGTGTACAGGTAATACGAATTTTTAGCATGAATGGCAGTATAACATGCAAGAGGGAGACTGAATTCTATTTTAGTTTTCCTTCGGATGCAAATCACTTCAGTGTGGTGGGAGTTACACCGGACATACTGCTTACTTTAGTAATGTTTTCTTCATTTCATTTGAGTACCCTGTTTGTAAGTGCTTCTTATGACTTGGTAAAGGTGTCCCTGTGAATGCCTGTGATGCTGATCTGTAGGTTGAACTTCCTAATGATTATAATTTTCTTAGTTGTAATTATTAGAAATTGTTTTCTATTGCACAACAGAAATATTAAAATAGTGTTTCATTAATTGTGTAGATGTTCATATTTATGATATGAACAGTTTTGTTAAAATAATAGGGGCAAAAGATTGAATTCTGTCATCTTCCTCTGCATTGTGCAACAGCTTGTTGTCTTTCCTGCTTTTAAATGAAATCATTTTGGGTTCATCTGTTCATAGGATGCTGCTTAAGATACGATTTTTAAGGGGTATTGACCCCAGTAGAAGCTTGGGAAATAGAGCTCCATACACAGCTATTTTTCTAGTTGCAAAACTCAGTTAAATCAGTGGAAAAACTCTAAGCAGTTCTTGTATGTTTGCATGTATGCATACATGAAAGAAACAGTGATATTAATGCATTTGGAATTAAGAAAGCAACAATAATGGCATAGTATCAAACCTGTGAACAGGGTCTGGTTTCATATGCACCTGCATTTTCCATGAGCTATAATTCAATATTCAAAGTATTACTTCCAGTTATGCAGAATAAAAGCTAAGTGTTTTCACCAAATTAAACCTTTCACATTACTGTTTTCTATGCCAATGCATTAAAACATAGAAACATTCATAAAAGATGTGCAAATTGTTTCTATAATTTCTGCTGTTAAATTCATCTGTGCTATGGAGTTTATAAAATATAATGGAATATATTAAAGCATGCTGCAAAATAGGATAGCAGATGAGGACTGTGAATGAGGGCCTACTAGTTATGATGGCCATTATGTTTTCAGGTATAGACATCATATATAGTGTATTATATGAAAACCACGTGGCTCATCTAGATTTGTTAAAGTGAAAAGCATTGAATTCATAGATTAAAGCACATTCATGCCTGGAATCTGTAACACCTGTTAGTGCTCTGTTTTGCACAAAAATTAGTTCCTGTTTAGTGTCACATCTCCACACGTTGCTCAGTGCACAGTTCACAGCTTCACTGCCTTTTGGAGCTTTAGCCAGCAATGCAAATTATAACCACACCTACAAGCTGACTGATTTCATCTGCTCAATAGGCTTCAGCTCTGCCCAAGCCTTTAGGCTAGCTGAAATTAAACATTCCTGGAGTAAGGATAACTGTCCTTAGAAATTGCATTTTTTTTAAACTTTTTTTTACCTTTTTTTTTTTTTGGTGGACTACTGCAAGTTCATCTGCATTTTGTTGTAGAAGTTTTTATGTTTGGGGTTTTTTTTGTGTGCTGGTACTTTTTTTTAAATTTCTACAAAGTCACATACCATTCTAATTCTTTAAAAAGTAAAATAAGGAGTATATATTGAAAAAAGCTACTCATTTGGCATTTGGTTTACCCGGATCCATTCAATCTGTGTCTCTTTAGTTTTCCATTCAACAGCTAAAGTCCAATCGCTTTTTTTACTCTCTTCCTTGAGAGTCTCCATTAAATCTTTTTTTTAATATATGAAAAACCTTTCCCTCCAAAATCAATCTAATTCAAGCAATCAAGCTTTGTATGTACTGGCAACTGAAATACAGTGTCCCAGATAGAGGTTTCTGTGAAAACAAAGCAGCATCTGTATCATGATTTTTGTCAGCACGAGAGCAGTGATTATAACATGGAGATAAGTAAATCCAGACTCCAGCTGTGGAACCGGCAGCACTGGATGTGTAGCCAGGATGAACTTCTGCCTGGGTGGGTCACCCTGCCTTGCAAAGCTAGCAGGTCACTTCAGCTGTGTGGCTGGGCTGGCACTGCACTGGCTGCTACTGCATCTTTTCTCTTAGAAAATAATCAGCTGTAATTGCTGCAACCACTGTAGAGCACAGTTGTGCCTTTAGCGTCCCTTTGATTGGCTTTCCTGGGACAAAAGCTATTTTATCCTCCTGGACCTTGGCTAAGTGACAGGATCTCAAACAATTAATTTATCAATCATTAAGCAAAACAGAAAAACATTAGTATTGAAAAATATTCAAAGTGAGTTCCAAAAGGGATTTGGCAGGCTCCTTGTGAAAAACAATTGCAACCCTTACAATTTTAACCCTTTATGCTCTGTGCCTCTACCTGATGTTTCCAATTGCAACCCTTACAATTTTAACCCTTTATGCTCTGTGCCTCTACCTGATGTTTCCAATTCTATTTCTGCTGGTACCTCCACTTCCTTTGGCTTTCTCTTTCTGTCCTCCCCTCATAATTTTTTCCTTCCTTTACCCTCACTTTAAAAGATAGGATAACCTTCTTTAAACCATCTGAATCTCTTCACTTTTTCTGATACTTCATGCAG